ATGAAACGATGATGCGTTCGACCGATTTGACTAAAGCTTTCTCATATGCGTTATCGAGCATTTTGAGATAGCTCCGTGTACAATTTAACCATTTTAATTCTATCATTCTTAAAAGTTGTCATGTACCTTTAAATCTTTTTTTTTCCTTGGTATGACAGACGAGTAACCCCCCTGTCGTGAAGACAAATGTAAGGAATACGCCAGGGTTGTATTGCCAGCTTACGGGATAGGCTTCGAGATGCGGAAGACACAGAAGTAAAGAGAAGACAGAAAGGGGACGGAGGGAAAAAAAAATGAAAAATTGGGCTATGCATGCCACATTTTATTTGTGTTGTCAGGGACGCGTGTACAGGGATATGGACGAACGAAAACCGCAAACGCGCCAAACATTCGACAACCAACTTCTTTCTTCGTTTTTCTTTTCTTTCTTTTTTGAGGAAAAAAAAGTCAACATAGCATGTCAGAGGATCTCGTCTTCATCTTGTCATACAATCAGGGAAATTCGCGACCTCCATTTCTTTGGCCATACCAATTCTTCGGCCTAATACATCTCTCTTCTTGCTGGTCGCAGACAGAGCGTATCATTCTATGTCTTACAATGATGTGCTGCATGGACAAGTAGAAACGAAGTGCGTTTTTTTTTTCTTCTCCCGTTCCAACTTTCGAAATTGAACTTCAAGATGGCAAGGACTGCCTGAAAGGGCAAACTGCTTTCTGACTGAAGATACCGCCCCAGACACTCAGGTAATATAAAAAATGAGGTATTTGGGGCAGAATTTAACGGTTTTTGTCTCGACTTTGCATGACCCTTTCTTCTATTATGGCGGGATCTTGTGATAGGAAAATAATGGATGTTGCATGCAAGCCCAAGTTGAAGTGGATAAACTTGGGGTTGGTGGAACAGACAGAACGGTGGAATTTGGGGCGAATTTAACGGTGCCGTCTCGATTTATATTGCCGCGTTCTCCTGAGATTTGATAAGAGAAGAAAGTCGCGCCTACGGGTCAGACCACAAAGGTTGAATTTCAACAACTTACGATTGTCTTTTTTGCGCTCTCGTTTTTTTTCTCCTTTGGTATGCCAGTGGAAGAGGGAGTGAAGTGACAGAGCAAAAGGAGGTGGTCTTGAGAGAGACAGAGAGATAAAGAGAGAGAGAGAGAGAGAGAGAGCGAAGGAGAGGGAGTGAGAGAGGGTTAAACATGAAATCATAAGGGGAACGTACATTATCGAGACCCTGGATATCCTGGTTATTGGTTCCAGACATAGGACTGATTTCAGATTAGGGCCTACATTACGTCATCAAGCTTAGCTTCAGTAGGTGTCATGTACAGTCTCCCAAGACTAGATTAACCCTGCCACACAGGACTACCACAATATGAGATGGTATATCACGGACTTACTATAATAAGTCCATAGGTAATCGTGCCAGACAAGACTTTGCCAAATGAGGTCTGAGAGCGCTGATTTAGATTCCCGATGTGCTATAAGGGTGGCCTGGTACTGGTGTCAGATTGGGGTGGGGCGAACAGGAGGCTATGGCTTTAGCAGAAGCAGACGGTATATGGCCCATGCCCCCATGCCTGAGACTCCGTGACTCTCTGTCTTTCAGCCATGAGTTTACCAGGGACCGCATTGTAATTGGTTGGCTACCTATACTTGGCTATATCACCATGAATCAAATCGCTCAACGACTTTACCACGATAATTTGTGTTCAATGCACTAAAGCAAACACACATTGGCGGATTCTGTTTTAGATCTATATTCCACGACAGACCGACATAAGACAGTAATTGGATCCAAGGAAACGAAGAGAAGGCACTGGGACCCATCATAGTTCTGACTAAAGTCTTACTGTGATGATGATATCAGCAAATCCGTATACATATAGGCCCAAGTCTTTACGAACAGTCCGAAGTTCACATCGGCATTGTCATTCTTGTCGAAGAATTGGAATTAAACACAATGGATGAATAAGCGTTTAAATCTAGTTAAAAGAGTATAATCAAATTAGCACAATGAATTGTATTCGAAAATCATTACAGATAGTGGCTAGCGATAAGGGATGATAAGACCGAAAGACCCGAGTGAGGGAAGTATAGAAACAGTGTCAGCTGATTATCCAATGAATAAGTCATTCAGCGGTACCCTGGATCCCCAGGGCAGCCCAGACCGAGCTGGCCTCAGTCTGGTTCCGAAAGAAGGGTAGACAGAATGTTTTATTGCATTGTAGAACGGCTTTCTTGATTTCATGAAAACCACCATCATAAGGAAAATGATCAATATGAGTCATTTATCGCGATTGATCCTTTATCACAATTCGTGATATTAAAGACAGACCAGTATTAATGGCAACGAGCCGATGCTCATGATTTTCATAAGTTTTATGAGACAAAATTTAAAGCTTCAAGCCTCCATCTCACCACTTCTCCAGTTTTCTTTGCCTAGTCGCTACAACATTCAAGAGTGTAATTCAGGTTGACTTTAGGCTTATACGAACTGGAAAAATCAGACAAATGAGCTCTATATTCGGATACGCTGGCAACGGTAAAGCTAGTAATTTAGAGTATTGTTTCCTTACTTCCCAAACTTATATCTGGTTTGTACAATAAAACTAAAATCTGAAGTTTTAAGAAGAGGAACACAACGATGTGGCTATAATGGATTATGAAGCTTTATAATCTTTAAGATTTGTACTTCGACGGTGGGGTGTTTTGTTTAATTTTTAGTTTGTTCAACGAACTCGCCTAGAAGAATCTATTCATAAGCAGGTCTAGAACAGTTTCTCACCTAAGCAATGGATCTACTTGTAAGTCCGTGATCTTAGTACGGAGATTTGCTGTTCAATATTCCTCGGACATGTATACAGCAGTGTTCGATTACTTTCAAACTTTTCGGGTGCGGTAGAAAAGCACCCTGAACTGTCAAGATCGACAAGGTATGTCAGTCGGGAATGTCTGTTTAACGATGACGTCATCATTTTTGTTCTCATCCCCATGATATGATTTTCCCCTGCCCTTTTTTTCCTTGATCCTTTATTTTTTCCTATCCTGCCTTCTCTCTCTCCAGAGTTCTTACTCTGCTCTAGAGGGCCCAGCCCAGGGAGCGGTGAGCAGCCGAAAGCGGTAAAGACCTGTCAAAGTTCATCATCTTTGATCTAGTTAACAAGTTATTCTCTTCGTGATACGAATATCGCCCATGAGGTGACGGTCGACTCACGCTTACGGGAGGCCTACTCATGGACCCCTCCCATAAAAAAAGAGGGTAAAATTACGCTTAACGTCGCAGAAATATGTGGAAATATATCAAACTAAGTTCTTCTTGTATGCAGAAGCTTTACCAAAAAAGTTGATTACGTACTCCCGACAAGGCACTAATACAATAACCAAAGGTTATTACCTACTCTCTGCAAGGAGCTATCAAGTGCATGAATGTGTCGTTGCCAAAGGCGGATTCAGGCTCGATTTCATGGTTTTTGACAGCTGATACTTATAATTCAGCGATTAAAACATGACCCCATGTATTCTGTGTGCGCTGTCAAGGTTGAAAAGAAGAGTGAACTTTTCAAGTTGAAGAAAATTTCGCCAAGCGCCTCGTTGATAAGGCGCATAAAGTGGTTTAAATTATGTATCAAATAATTCACGCGATCTATAATTCGTATTTTTGGCTCTTCTTGTTGCTGGATATGGTGTGGAGTAGACACAGTATGATTTTTTTTATTTGCGTGTGGTAGGTTGAAGTCAGACGAGAGAATGAGTAATTCGATTTAATCATTATCTGAAATACGCTGGCTGGCCGGTTGCCAAGCTGAGTACTGCAAAGGCACCCATTGTCAGTGCGTCTCGCGGTGAATAAAAATATAATTGGAACAAAAGACATAGGAAGGGATTTGGAAGTCAAACAAGTTCCCACGTGGAATCTCCTCTGGCTGTGTCTATTATATAATGTGGAAATACACCCGGTAAGATCCACGGGTGTAGACAGTTTGGGAGCTGTCTGGAATTGTTGAATTCAAACCTGTAGTGGAATATGCTAGGAAGATTTGGGGGTAGAACTTGAGCTCGATTTGAAAAAAGAAAGAAAATGAAGCATTGTTGTCGGCAGACTTTGTTTGAGTTTCACACTTGTTCTGAGCCGGCCGGTGTGGGATGATGATGATGAATGAACGCTATAGGGTACTGAAGGTCAGCATAAACTCAATTCAAAAGTAGGACAAGTATACGGTCACGTGATTATATTGGGTAACAGCTGAAACCAAGTCATACACGCGTTTTAAAAAAAAAATACATACTATACATTTTATCGTGGGGGAATCTATATAGGCCTATACATGTGAAATATCAAGGCTACTAACAACCTAAAATATTTCGACAACCAAGACATTCATCGTTTGTGGCGCATATATTGATATAATTCACTTTTGAACACCGCTAACAAATAAAAAGAGAAACGATTACACACACGTGGAGTAAAAATTATATTGTGATACACTATAGAGAACAGATTATTAGAAGTTGTAGTGCACTTTCAATTCTGACAGGTACATGGTTCTGTTAATAGTTTCTGCTACTCCATTTGTAATAATCTATGACTGTCTTATTCACATCTTTTAGTTAATGACTGATATGTCCAAGGCCATCAGCTTACCCTTCAAAGATATCAGGCCCGACGGGGCTGAATGACTGGAGAGTTGTAATAGTTGTATCGGGTTTGTTGGAAGCGATAAAGCCTGGCTTGTTTCACTGGTCTGGCATACCAAATTTCGTATGTCTACCAACATCGAGTTATCCGTATAACGAGCATCTTTGGACAATCCCCCTCAGTCTATCTACAACACTTGAGACTTCCTCAGTAATTGATAGACTGATACTGGGCTTCTTGGGCGGACAATGCGTCCATTGACTGCTCTTGAATCTATCTCTATCTCTCGGTCCTTTCTCTAAACCTGGCAAACTAGCCACTAGAGATGGGCGAAATTAAAAAAAGAGGGAGGATCACTTACCTTTAACTTGTGCTGCGACCGGTGTGGGATATTCCCTTTGAACAGAGTTGAATAGACATCCAAAATTGGGATCCGAATTAGCCATTCTGAAGTACGTTGTGAAAAATAAATATGAACTTCAGAGAGCAATCAGAGCTCAAATTTGCCGGGTAAAAAATATGATTATGGATTTAGAGAGAGAAGGGAACCCAGTTTAGTACTGCTCGAGTGGTCCGCGCGTGTGGGGGTTCGCGACGGTGTGTGAGCTCGATCAGCTGGCTTGACGAATATTTGTAGCTCGTAGTGAGCTGCTCCAACCAGCGTCGCGTGCAATGCCCAAGCGGGAATCCTCTATAATACGATTCATTCTCATGAATGGTCTGTCTCGCCCGAAAGCCCCTTGGGTATACACACGCACATACACACACGCACACACACACACCACAACACACACCCGGCCTCAACGCACACACCGTGCTAAAACACACTGCACACGAACGCACCCGCGTGTTTAATGTGTATTCTCTCGAGCACCAAATTGACAAGAGAGGGAGGGAGAGAGGGAGAGAAAGAGAGAGAGGCAGAAAGAAAACTTTGCCCTGAGTCAAAAGCGCCTTGGACGTTTAAGGTCACCGTCTACCGGATCGTTCTGATAGGCCAGAAAGATTGTGACGTAAAAACGACACAGCCAACTCATGCGTTGCTTGTAGCAGACGACTATTTCAGTCAGCCAGGACACAACGTCATTCGAGTACTCGAGATGATAGGGGCATGTTCAATGTTCACATTCCATACACAAACCCATTAGTAAATGTTGATTTTAATATTGAAATAGATTTGAATATCTTCCCGCAGTCGCTTTATTCCTCGGCCAATTGCAACGACACATTACAGCAGTGCGTGCACTGTTCACTATTTGTGAAGATTTCTTGGTTTTGTTTCAACAATATTTCATTTTGCCCCTTATAAATTAACCTGACCTACTTCTTCCAATTCCCTGATGTAAGTCGTTTTATTGACCCTTACCCATGGTGGGCTCAACCATCTTCCCCTCCTGTCTGCTGGCATCAAACAGGTCAAACGTACCCACAGTGATGCTAAGCGTTGCTACTCCTTCTCGCTGCCGAACAAATAAACGTTTCTCAGAGTGCCTTTTTGGAACACCACGAACCTGAATAGATCATCGGTTTCGCGCTAAATAAACTTGGTTGAAAGGAGGAGAGAGAAGAAAGTATGATATGTGAAGATCGAAATGGATCTTCTCCTCTCATGATTGTTTCTTCACTCCAAGGTCACATTCCACCACGATTTAAACTGAGGTTTTTTAGTCGTGTATGTTTCACTTTAAGTGGACATCTTTTCTATATCAATATTAGTTTTATTTCTTCATTTTTATGTAAATCCGGGCCCATTTTCGTGATCAACTTTCCATTTCTTCTTACAATTACGACTCAGGTTTTATCTGTGTCGTATGAATTTTCTAAATAAGAATACGTCTGTACATTTTTTTCTTCTGAAACCTCTTTTAACAAACCATGAGCCTCAGGAGACATCTCGATTTAATCGCACTTTCATCATTACACTTTCGTTCTCCCGATCAATTGCCGTCATTGCCAAAGGTATAGACACATTATGACCTTCATGTGTGATTAATATGGGTGCAATATGGACCGTTTCGTCGATACACATAAGTGGATGAGTGGATGCATGGAATATATAGAAAATCAATTTTGTTCTAAGTAGTAACAATGTCAGCGTCCTCGGTTGCCATGCTATCACTTGACAATTGTCTCGTCATATTGACGTCATGCCCATAGACTATTTTCCTAGTGCATTAAAAGTTAATGCTCAAAGCTTTGTTAAGCGCCTCGTTGCAAATTAGTTCATTCACCTGTTACGAATAATTGTATTCCAAGAGTCAGAACGCGAATTGCAAACATTCCGTGTTGTTAGGTAGGATAAGCCATAATGTTATTGTTTGCAATTTGCATTCTACTAAAATAGAATTATTTGTAACATGTTAATGAAATAATTTGTAACATGGCACTTAACAAAGATTAATGCATTGCATTTGATTACGTTACGAAAATAGTCTATTGAGCTTAGAACATGTATAGAGGATTATTATTATACGCGGTATGGTACTTTGACATTATGTAAAAGATGAGGTTGCACCGGGTTACCGAGAAGATGGGGTTCTGGTAATGAAAATTGATTAAATAAAATATCAGGAAGCGATTGGAAAAGTTAAGTTATGTAGTAAGCAAATAACTATACCGTTAGTGAAGGTGATGGGACAAACTATCACTTCCGAGGCAATCTGGATGTAGCTATCTTTCCGAAGCGAAGCTGAGGAAAGATAGCGTATACATTCTGATCGACGAGGAAGTGATAGTTTGCCATCGCCTGAAACCAAAAGGTGATTATTTGCTTTATATTCCACATCTAAAACAATTTAAGTACAAAGAGAAAAGGACGTGTATGCATCTACATGAAAGACACCAGGCCCAAATTTACCCCCAAAAAGTTAAAAGTTTAACCCACCCCTTGAGGGTACGGTGCGCGCATGTGTTTGCTTTAATTGCGCTCATTGGTAATGCGCGCTTAATTACGCTTGTTTTAGTGCACTTTTGGATAATCTTCAGTGAAAGTACGTTGCCCTGTGTAGATAGTACCTCTATCTTCAGTGAAAGTGCGTTGCACTGTGTAGATAGTAGTACTATCTACACAGTGTAACGAACTTTTGCTTCTCCCATAAATAATAGGCGAACTATCTTTCATCACGTGATTTACTTTTGACCAATCGTAGAGGAAGATTCTTAGTAATGTGGAAAATGATACATATTAATCGAAGTGTTCTGGGAAGTTTTGGATTGAACAAAATTAAAATAAATCGACTTGGACTAGATAAAGTTTGCGTGCAAGTTTGAATTGGTTTTTTGTTTTTACCGTACCGTTGTATAAATGTTATTATCACAATTCTCTTTGAAAATGAACATTTTATATGTCCGCACTTCTCTTAAAACAATGGAATTAGCTTTTCCTTACATTCTGAGTAAAATTGTTAAATAATTTAATTACTTTCATGAACAGGCCAAAATGTTTAATTGTATCACTATCAAAACGTTTCATGCACAACCCTTATTAACCTACAGAAAAACATCAGATATTAATACTGATAACTCTGATAAGTAAGCACTGACTATAAACTCGGAGCTCCTGAAGGATTTTCGAAAGACAATAATCCACATTTGCCACTCTCCACCCAGGTATGAATAACAGTACCTGGGGTGATAATAGCTACAGGGTCATCAGGAAGAACGGCATTGATGCTGATGTAGCTTCCCTGGGTAAAGCAAACTTTGGATACTGACTAAATATACATGCCAATGACCATATTCAGGGTCAGTGTATACATCGTTCTTGTAGGATTAACATGCACATTTTGGAAATATTTAGAGCAGTTAACTAATGAAATTCACATTAGAGTTTTGCAACTTGGTATAGAAATACAATTTCTGCAAATACACATAAAGGACAGCTTTAGAAGTAATTATTATCTTAACGTTTTTAAATACTAATTTCTCGGAACAAAAACAATAACCATCAGGATCTCATAGTTTGTATAGTCATTACTCTTTTTTCACAGGAAACGGAAATCCTTAAGCGTTTTTTCATGTTCACATCTTTGACTGGCTTACACTGTTAATCTATATACAGAATCAATTTTTCAGAATGTGAAAAAAAGATTCAACGTTTTTTCGTTATGTTATAAGGCCATAACGATTGATAATTATATATAACCCTCAGTTTTAGGAGGACTTTGGAAATGTAGAATGTTGTTAGGTGTGGTCGATAAAAACACAGCAACACACCGAAGGGAACTGTTAGTGAGTGTTCTTTGTGATACCCTGGTTTAAGAATGAAAAGTGTCTTTTATTTACCCAATAGGGCTCTTGGGTATGTGGCCCGTATCATAAGGGAGGAAAGAAAAACCTTACCATGTATAACCAACGATATTCCTCTCCTTTCTAAAACCCCGCTGCCATGGTTGTGTGTATACCTGAAACCAAGAGGGTACGTTTCAAAGCTTTGAAAAACACTCAAAACACACATTTGTTTTCCAACCTCTTTGTTTCCCATTGACTGTTATTCCTAGCAGCAGCTGAACGTTTGTCCTATGGATTTACTTCTATTCTCTCCTGCAGACGACAGAGAGACAGAGCCGCAAAAAGGCGGGAAAGTCCACGAAAAGTAAATACTACTACACATTCGATTCCGCTTCTCTTTTCTTCCTCTGTCTCGCCTATTTCACCCACTCTGTGCAAATGTAGATTATGTGTGCGTTGGGTGGTTTGGTGTGAGTGGGGTTTTTGTGTGCGAGTGTGCGCAGTCATCGTTTGGTGATTTCTATGAAATTGTTGGCTCAGTTATGTTTGTATTGTAACCGCATATGCCATTTATTTGAAATAATAAGACACTATGCATGTGCGTTCCGTTGCCTGATGCAAGGTGTAGACAGCAAACACAGTGGAATGTACAGCACGCACGCTCAGTCCACAAGCACGCGTGGCGCCAGGCCCACGCGTATCAAAATGGCATAGTCATGTATGAACCGAAAGAGATAGAGAGACCAAAAAAAAGTGTGGGGTGTGTGTGTGGGGGGGGGGGGTGTCATGGCGAAGCATAGTTTTCAAGTCAGAAGAAAGTTTAAAAAGTGTTATTTATAATATAATATGTACATTTTCTTTTCTTCTTTTAGATACCATAGGGCCGTACACTTTCAAACGGATGAACAGGAAGGTATGTCAGTATAGGCCTACATTACATAATGCCTTGAAATCAAGAGAAACACAGCAAATGAAAAATAGTTCTAGAAATGTTTTTTTTTACCTCGATTAAAATAATCAAAATCCAAGTCTGTGAACGAATACAGATACCTGACGTCTGTGGTCAATTATTAATGTTAATCGATATAAAAAGCATATGATGCAATAAACACAAAGGGTCTTATGAACATCTGTTTTTACCTGTCATTTATGTTAAAGTAATGTAACTCCAATATCTTGTAATATTATGACAAAGTATGTATATGTTATCATTCTGTTATTATTTTCTTGTGCATTGAATGAACAATAAAATAACTTTCAAAACAAAGATGATGATAAAACGGATAATACAACCAAAAACATTACTAAAAAGTGTAAAGGGCGACAGTGTAAGAAAGACAATAAGGATTGATGTTAATAAAGAAAATGCGAATAAAATTGAAGAGGTTAATTCTATTCTCGTTGTCCTATTTCCATCTTCTCTTTATTTTGCATTTGAAAACCTCACCACAAATTTCGTTGGCGCCAGATCACATG